ACACTTTTGAGTCTTTTATTTATTAACGTTAAAATTGCAAAGAAATGTGGGAAAGCCATGGATTCTGACAACTTTTCTAACATGGAGCAACTTTTATATTAATATAAACTCCGTTATCACCTTCGTTCAAGACTGCAAATAAGAAATGCTACGTTTTTCTCCTCTAAGAAATTGATAGAAGCATGCACTACCGAAAAATTTACATAAATGCAATTACAACGTCGATAGATACTTTGAATGAACCAGCCAAGCTTTTTGTTCTCTCATGTTTTGGAAACAAAGCCTTGTTTTTCAGTACAAACACACCTAACATTGAAGGAACCAATTAAGTAGCTTTTATTCGGTAAATATGCAAGTACATGTCACCTAAAGGAACATCAGGAAATATGGTGCTCGTATACTCACCTCTATTGGACGGAAAGCAGTCGTCCTTAACAAAGGTGCTTACACTCTAGCCGCTATCTTTAGAACATTTTTATCATTGCAGGAGACAGGAACATTTAAATCTGTTGTAGAATGGTACCATTGTGAACAATGATCAGAGCAGTAATACAGCACAGTGTAAGAAGTTTATATATCGGTTAACTTTTCAATAATACTGCGGTAAATGCCGTGTCACCTCAAGTTGAACGTCACTGATGGATTTAATTTTATCATGTCAAAGTTCACAAGTGTTTTATCGGCCAGAGTAAAAAACGAAGGAAAAGACACATAGAATGTTTGTAGTTGAGTTCTAGCATGTACCTGTTGGATGGTTTTGTGCTAAACTCGCTGAAGGTAAAAGTTACAACGCTTCAACTTCACGCAAGCGCTATTGCACTACAATTCAATTTACTGAACTGAGATAGATAGAGATGAAAAAGAAAGTCCTGATCAATTGTGTATTCGTACAATGTGACTAGTTACCAAAACAGGGTTTGTTATCGTGCTAGTCGCACGACACTATGAACAGAGGGCATTATACTTACATTTCAAGTTCAACAAAAAGATAATACCTTTCTGAATACCAAGTTGTTTTAGTGGAACCATCCATAATAAAAGCTTAGTATTTACCTACCGTAAAAAAGGTCTTCTTTACCTTAATCCGTAATGGGAATAATTTGTTTAAATTCTACTTCTAACCACGAGACAGACAAGCATATTCTAAAATATAGATACTTTCATTACGATTTCATAATTTAAGAATGATATTTGTATTTTTTGACTTTAATGACACAATCAGTGACATTTAAATTGACAAGTCGTCCCCCTACCATGCAAGAAAGAGAAGAAGTTCACGAACAGGTTGCGCGTTATGGCGTTATTCGGAGAAAACCGCGCCACAATTTGGTCAAGGAATATTTGAATTCATTGTTTAGGCGATATAAGTACAGTCTGAAGAATCCAAAAGTATGCATCCTGTATTTTTTGATATTTGTGCTGAGCATTGTTCTTATAAAGATATGTGTTCTCATCACACGTATTCTTATAGTCGATTTCTCTGGCTTCAGCATTGAAAACATTTGGTACGATGCGATCGATAAACCGGAGGAAATAGGTGTATCCTTTATGTCAAGCTACCTGTGTCCCGTCAATGTGCACGTGAAGAACTTGAAAATCTCCATTTGCAACGATGGTACCGAATTGATTGAACTGGAAAATAATTCTTTTTCGCTGGAGAAAAATAGCAGGTTAGGGTTTTCAGATATTCTGAAGATCGTAAATATACACGCATCAGACATGCTCTCTTATGTTAGCGGCAAGGATATCACCGTAAAAATTAGAGCATCGATAAAAATAAGATTCTTTTTTCTTAAGTTCGCATGTAACCATAAGTGTAGTCGGATAATCTCTCCTCAACGATCAAAAAATACCTACATGGTGCATTTAACAAGAATTCTTCTGAATGAAGATATGCGGATGGTTCATCTCTACTTTGCAAATACCGGACATATATTTGCTGAAAATGTGAACATAAGACTACCAGAAGTGATTCTTAAGGCAGCAATTTTTGGACAGGCCTGCGACATTGCATTGAGCCCTATTTCTGTCACAGGTGGTCGAATGTGTAGCTTTGTAAAGCTTACTCTTTTCTTTAAAAACGACTTTAATCTAAACGCTTTGTTCATGCATTCGTATAAGTTGATAACTATGGCTGATTCGTCAGATTACGAGAGCTCGGAAGTGCCAATCTACATAGAAGGCACGAGAAAGGAAGGATATTCTAGTTTTGAACGCTTCTTTCACAAGTTGAAAGTTCCTGTTCAATCGTGGCTATCAAACATGGGAAAATCAGGAAAAAATGCGGTTTTACCGAGGTTTAACTTAACGTGTTCTACTGAGGGAGATGAATACGCGATATACATTGATTTAAAGACGTGCATATCTAAAAGGGAAATAAATTTACTCCATATGCTCTACAATTCCAATTTGGTTCCTATACACATCAATATACACAAATATAATGATCGTATGGACATGAGCGATGACTTTGGGCAGGAAGTGGAAGAAAGCCTCGGCGGGTCCGAAAATCACGGAGAAAAAATCAAACAAGGGAACAATCGAAAAAGTGAACCTGGTAAAAAACCAAAGAGTGATGAGAAACGAACACGACACGAAGAAGGTGACAGGGTTGAAACAGATAGTGGTGCTGATGCTATAAAATCAAGCAGAGGACATTTCAAGGATGGTACAAACGGTAGAAAGCTAGAAAAAGTGAGAAAGCAGAACAGGAATGAAGCTGTGGAAGGTCCCAGCATTTGCACAATAAATATAAAGAGCTATTTGAACGATGTCTATTATCTGAAGGACGATTCAGCAATTCAGCGTGAGGCGATACAAACGGGATCAATCCTAGATAGTGCAGGAGATGTACGTGGCGAAAACCGTGTAAGGAAGACGCGGGCTTTATTCAAAATTAGTTTTAAGGTGAAATCATGGAATAAGTTACTGGACAGCTGTCTGTCTGGCAAAACATTGTTTTTTGCAACTTCTTTGGATTGCTATGCTAGTCGCAAGATTGAATTTCTTTTTAACACGGATCAGGGAATATTTTTTCCTAATGATAAACCTGGGAAAACACAACCGGTATCGTTCTTGATTAAGATGCCAAAGATAGAGCATGTTGTCTTTACGCATAGGTTATCCATAAAAAGTGGTTTGCCCAGAGGGAGTTTAACCATCGAGTCGGAAATTCAGCCGAGCCAAAAAAGCAGAACAAACATACAAGAAAGCATAGCGGGAGTGGAAATCATCCACGACGAATTTGTTAAATGCGAAAATATCAACACAGGAAACGACTTGTCGTTATTAAGTCATGATAACAGAGAATTGTCGATAGATCTGCAATTAGGGATCTATAAGATCCACATGATTGCTTTTGAAAATATGCTTTGTTATGATGGCGATTATTTGCACATTATTTTTCGGAGCGTGTCGAAAATTTCCCTACTGACGAATGAGGTAAGCCGCGATGGACCAATTCTAGGAAAGCCCTTGCTTGCACATGTGGCAATAGGGGGTGGTAAAGCAGAGGATTACAGATATTTACTGGAAAGTGCCCACGGTGATCCCTTCTACTATGGTATATTGAACCGTTTGAACTTGAAAATTGAGGATATCAGCGAGTCCATAAGAATCACGACTAATATGGAAGACATTCTTACCAATGATGATCCAAGAATCACAAATATAATTACAGTGCCGGAAAAACTTGTTTTTGAAGCGGGATATAGCATCGACAACATTGTAGCAAGGGTAAGTGTTGATTTGAATGACTCTGAGATAGTGTACAAAGGAGAAAAAATTTATTTTCGTGGCCAAAAAATTGATGTTACGCCTGATTTCTCAAATTTGGTTAACCAGAAAACGGAGCTGTCTTTTTTCTGCCCCACTGATAGCATTTACCACGAATTTCTTGCTCCATGGTTTGAAACTTTCAAGTACAACATGGCCGCATCCAGCAATGGAACATTAGATGCAAATATGGGTTTAGATCCTCTGTTGATAAAGGCAAAGGTGGGCATTACAGGATTCATGGCTGCTTTAGGTGTATGTATTGATCTGCCTGAAAAATGCGTGGATCAGCAGAATGAAGTTAGCGACAAATCACAGCTGGAAGGTCTTCGTGTTTCATGGCCTGATATGGAAATGACGCTATTCTATAATGGCACAGATGAATCAAGACAGTCAATCATTATTTGGCAGATTATGTCTTCGTATATTTGTCTTAAACCATTTGGTAGAACAAATAGCAAATCGTTTTTTTGCCAGAAAAAGCTGTTGAAGTTTTATCTGCGCGTGTTCTCGGCCTGGAAGCCCTCCGATATTGGCGATGCTGCTTTGCAGATGGAATTTACATGTGCCGGAAAAAAATTTATGAGACAGAACTTGAACATGAAAAATTACCTAAAAAAATTTATCGAGAGTTGGAACTATGGTAAAGAACCTTTTTTTATATTTCAACTCGTTGATTTTATTATTAATGGCAATGAAACTGAGAATAGTGAGAGAACGAAAGAGCAAAACAGTGAGAAGATCAGGTTCGAGTGTTCACATACGGTTGACTATGGTTCCTTTGATGTTGAATTGGTGCACAAAGGGATTATTAACTCCATTTGCAGACTTTTGGGTTTCGTTGGTAATCTCAATTTGGGAGTGTATCCCCGTATGGCAAACATAAAGCTAGAAAGTGAACAATTTACCGCTTTGGAGATTTCAAGTAAAAATGTCGGGCTAATCAGGTTGTCCGCCGAGGTTAAACACCTGTCACGCTTGCCTATAAAGTACGACCAAACCCCTGTTGACAACAACACTAGACTTAGGATTAACGTGCTCTATAAAGCATACATTAGCAGTCTAAGTAGCAACATTGGAGGTGATGAGGAGTCTTCGCTGAATTTTTCTTCTAATATAAGAGATTTGTTCAAGAAAACTAGTGAATCCCTTGATAGGGGCGCGCTTAAGCTTATACCCGAAGGTGATGGAAAATCGATGGTCACTATCACCTTGCCGATGCCAATGGAAATCGTTATAAAGAAAGGAAATTGGCCATATATCGGGATAGTATTTCTCTTATCACGATACCACGTATACTTGCGAGAGGATCCCAACGAAACAACTTTTGCCGTGTATGTTCGACGCCTGCCTTATAGTGTAAAACACGATCGAAAGAACATATTCCTAGGTTTGTATGGAAAAGACGGTGTGATAAGAGTAAATCCTGTGAAATGTAACCTAGGATACCTGCTAAATAATAATTACATTAGTTGGTGGTACACTCTATCCTACCCTCTAAGCGGACGTTTGATCGAACATATAATCACCTATAGCGCCTATATCGCCTATCTCATGAACAGAAGTTAAAAGTAATATTTGTACTTTTGTCCCAGTTGGTCTCTCTTTTAATGTGGTGTGCCAGCCTGTATTGATGCTTGTAGACGGGTTAAAAGTCTAATTGAAGCTTTTTAGGGATGGATGGGCTGATGTTCGGATTGCAGTAAAGTAACGTTAAGTAATATTTTTAGTACAGCAATTTATTTTTGTCTCCAGTACCAGTAGTTGGGCTGGAAGTGTTTTATCGCATTCATTCCGTTCTTAGAGAAGGAAACTTGGCGACATGTCGCTACATTCGTCCAAAAAGAAGAGCCCAACATGATGTTTCTGGGTGAACAGTTTCGCGCAAATCACTGCTGTTGTTGTAGCATACCTTTATGTTGATGATGTGCGTTAGCTTCATTACAAACCAAAGGCATGGTTAGGATCAGTCCGAGTGAATCGTAAAGGTATGTTTTGTAGACAGCGGAACATGTATCAAATGCTAAATATACTTGCTGAGATAAAAAGGGAAATAATATTTGTATTGCGTTGGAGTTTGGCTTATTGTCCTTATGGCAGGACGATTCCTTTCTTTCCTCGATACGCGTTACAAGGATGCGATTCAGTACATGAAATAATTTGCTAATATAAATATACGCAAGTTCACTAGTCTTACACAAATCAGGTTGATCGTACCTAAAATGCTCTGATCACCATCCCATGATGATCTATCAGGTATCGATTACAAATCGTATTTTAGGCTAAAAACAATTGAACGTACCATGCCGACCGCACATGACACGCTAGTAAAACCAACATCAGTATTGCTATTACCGCAAACATCTTTATTTAAGACTAGCTGCTGTGTTGATAAACGCTGGAGCGTTTGATCTGCAAGGATTCATAACACATTCATTCCAATAATCAACATCGTATATCACCAATAAACCGATCCGTACCATGCATATTTGGACTAGGCAGATAATCACAAAATACCGATTCATCCAATTTCGAAACACACTTTTTGAGCAGGCTAGGTGTTTTGTAACATGCATGACATATTTTATAAACCGAAAACCGACATCAAAAGCCTTCATTTCTCTCAATTCTAGCTAACATTCAGAACAAGATAGTTTTTCACAGGAAGTGAGTACATCCCTGCATTATTCCATTACATTGCGGTATGATTTATTAAGACATAGCTAAACGATGATTATTGTGCCTTCAGCACTAAACATAATCGTCTAAAGACCAAATTTCATGGAATGGTGTGCATCTGTATTTCGTTAACACAACAATAGGTTGCAAGTGGATGCGAAGGCAACGCTATCAAAGGAATAATCTGCTGAAAGCTCTGTAGTAACAAAATGTATGAACACGGGACCCTAAAAAAGGACAGAAGAACCTGATGCACATCAAAAACCTAAAGAAGATACTCACAACATCATAAAACACGATTGCTGCACGAGTTTGCAACAACAAATCAAGATTGTAATGTGAACATGTCATCTCAGCAAATAGTGATTTAACCATATTATATTGAGTGCCGGGATGTTCTGGTAGGGACCGTAAGTTTTTGTTCATAGATGAGACCTAAAAAGCAGCCTTTCAACCTATGGTCTATCTTATGAGCTTTCAATCGTACTCGTGTCATGTATCAGTATTGACACTCTAGCCAAATAGAGAAATATAAGGTACTAGGATTAAAGGTCATAATTCACCATACCGTTCGATATGCTAACCATGAGCCTCTGTTTGATCATATATTTATCGATGTTTTGGATAATTTTCTTCAAAAACTCCAGTCCCTCCTTATTTCCAGGCATTTTTTGCAGTGTTCCATGCAACTGAGTAGGTTTCAGGGACTCAAAATATTTTTGTGACACTTTGTACGCGATTTTGCTTCTTTTTATTCTCAGAGTTTCGAACCTATTACTTATCATCGACCACAGGTATAAATTTGCGCCCTTGAATTTGATTACAGTCGTACTTTGTTCAAACGAACTCCTCCTCTCGGGGTAAAAAATGAAACGGACATTCAGCCCGTGAAGACAGGCTATCATGTCTCTTTTCATCAATATTATGCTGTCATCAAGGAAACCGTTGCTTATAAACACACCAACGGTGTTTAAAGTATCGTCATCGGTCAGCTCTATCGGTGTTTTGTGTTCGATCATGAGCTTCAGTAGATCCATGAAATTATTGTATTGAAAGCTGTACTTGCCAATTTCAGGTAAATGTATAATGTTATAGGGAATTATATCCGACCTGTCGATGTAGATGTAAAGATAATCGCTGTGAAAGCGTACACGTATCCTGAGAAAGAAAGTGGCATAGATCATTTCGATGAGCTTGAAAGCACAGCGCTCTTTCAAATCATCCATAATTTCCAGATTTGTCGGTATTAGTGAGTTGAGGACTGCCTTATTATTAAAATACTTAGCTGTATTGTCATTTGCGTTCTGATCCGCCTTTTTATCCCTGTCATCCGGTTCTACTTTTTTATTCATCCGTCTGTCCGAGTCACTTAACTCGATTATATCGAACTTGTGCGTGTCCACGTCGTACGCAAAGGCAATTTTGTCTACTTCAAATTTTTCCTGCCTGTTATTTGGATATACAACCGTTACGATGCTCTGGTGAGGGTTCTTCCTCATAATATAAATGCTATCGCTCCCCGTTGGAAAGGTCACATTTCTTGTGGTACGGTTTATGCCGATGAAGTGATAGCTCATGGTGTATGTGCACAGCAATAGCGGAATAATATACGGCATCATATGAATGAACCCCTGAACTACCATAGGGTAGTATTTTTTAGCGCTGATATATTACTTGGACAATATCTGCATCAGAGACTGCGATTGGCCCATATTGGTTTGAGCCCCCTTTCCACCAAGAGTAAGCCATTGGATCGCTATTAGCCGATTATGGAATCTCGATTGGCAGCATGTATGAACGGAACAAATGTTAGCAATTTAAAAGGCGAGCACAACAAATACCGTAACTGTGGATACCTCTGATGTGCAAAACAAAAGAGGACTCGAATTACACCACAGTGAACGTTTCATTCTGTCGAATAGATCGTGCAAACCATCCATTGCAGCAAGCAATTTTGGTCGAAACTCCCATTTTATGGTCTGCTGGCAAGCAGATCATCAGTTTGTACCGTACAAAACGATGCCGAGCACCAGACAGCATGGCAAGAGATACCGAACTAGTCTCCAACGTTATCACAGAACCAAAAACAGACCGGGCCTATGGTGCTTGCGAAATAACAAGGCCAACCGTGTGCGTGCATCCAAACGAAAAAGGAAATATTTACGCCATAAGATCTGATTTACAAACAAAAACCGCGATCATGATAAATACCGCAGTGCCAATCAAACGCTCTGCACTCGTACAAAGCTGGTCAGGTGAGGAATGCCTAATAAAATGCTTTAACAAATTTTAGCATTTTTTATGGGAATTACACATTCACAAATACGCAATTTTCCACTGCACGATAAATCGCTGCGTACTACAGGGCAACCGAGCTCACCCCTTCGCACGCCATGAATTGGACATTAAAGGCATGCTTGCAACGCAAACCGTATTTTCCATCCGCTTTACCGGTTCAACTGCGCACACCAAGTCGCTCTTTCAGCTCGCCAACGCTTCCAAACATCTCGCCACCCCTCCGCAACACGCTGCCAACACAAACACACTCATCGCCGATTTCTAAGTACCCCGGACGTTTTTTACTGAATCGCATGATCTCGCCGTAATCCCTGTCATTTTTGATTTCGGTGAGGAGCTTCACCATTTCCCTAAAATAGCAGTAAATGACATGGTCCACGTTTTCATATTGTCTGTTATTGAAGATCACACCGCCATTATCTTTCTCGATCTTGTAGTGCACAAAGATTTCATCCGTTATTTGGAGTGTTATAACACCGTACGGCTTTGTGCCGCTCTTTCGCAGCAGGAGCAGCTGTCTTCTCTGACGAAGAATGCTTTCTGCTGCTCGTGCCGTGCAATTCACATACAGCGGATGGTTTTGAAGGAAAAATTGAGTCTCGTTGGCTATTTCTCCCCTGAAGCTGAGGCCCAAAATGTTCTTCTCCTTAATCCGAACTTTTACCTCGTCATTCTCGAAGTACTCCCTGGCCACAACCGTTTGATCATCGCCAGGGTTTGCATAGCACCCACCGTCTCTCCGCACCGCCACGCACCAATTATCACACACCCGCACGATCAGGTACCTATCGCACACCTTGATAACACTGCCCACGTACACTCCGTGGTCATCATACTCACCCACCAGCATTTCAAACACCTTGCTGTCACACAGCCCTTTAAACTCCCTCCTTTCATACATCATCACATTCAAAACATCAAAAGAGTCTTTCTCCTGTCTCAGCTTCTTCATATTAAGTTCGCCAGGCGCGCCTTTATCGTTGAGCAGCGCTATGACAAAATTGTTGTTGTTATCCTCGTCCACCTCATCTCTGCCCATTGCAGCAGCGCAGATCAGACGAGCACAGCGGTAGTTCACGGGATGGACGAGCAACTCGTCCAGTCGATCAAATCGATCCGTGATGTTGAACGTATCGTGGTACACCCTCAGATATGTGCACACGTTGTTTAACAGCACCTCGTTTTCTATCTTGTTGAAGCAAATGAATGTCTCATCATACGTTTCCATCTCAACAGACTTGCACAGGTTTTCTCTGAGTATTTCTAACCTGCTGACGAAGCCTAGCTCAACAAGCGAACGCATCACATCCGTGTTAAAAAATGGAACGAACTTGGAAATGATGCGTGCCCTGTCACACTTTACCAGGTAATTCAGGTCTATGCCCACGATACCAAAGCCGAGAGTGAGTGCACGACGGGCCGCACTAAACGAGCCTAGAGAACGATCTTTTACAAAATATGGGAGCGTCTTCTTACCGACCATGTGCATCAGCTCAATTTCTGGGTACAGACAGCGCCTTCCAACATGCAACAGAAGACTAAACACGTCTTCAACAGAATCTTGGCCATTCAAAGGGGTGCCTACAGCAGCGACATCCTTGTCAAGACCATAACTACCAGCACGTTCTATGCATTTTCCGTTCTGGTCATTTTCGTTCCCTCCTTTACCTCCATCTGTGCTCCGAACTCGACTGTAAACGGGATAGAACGGGTCTGCGTACATGACCCTGCTGCCAATCCCCTCAACTTCCTTCAACTTGCCCGTCCATTCGATCACACTTGAGTAAAAGAACCGCAGAACGGTTTTACACCCGGTAATAAAAATGTATTTAGGTCTCACATCCCTGATCACACCTTTAATCTTCTCTTCTGTGTTTCTAACGCTCAGCTTTTTGATCATATTCCCTAAGAAATTCATTACCACAATCTTTGCATGGCCTTTATCCTCTGTCATACACAGATACGTATCGTTCTCCGTTGGTCTTCTAACTCCCGTATTCAGAATCACATCCAGGATAGCTGTAAATGTAGGATGACTCCGCTCACGAGCTTCTTCTTTGCTGTCGTCCATCAGTGCCACAACCTGGTTTATTATCATCTTTCTCAGCCTGTCATTTCTTGTAGGCTCGCCATCGGTGCTCACTCCGAAGTAGTAGTACAGCTTGTTGCGCAACGTGCTGCTGTCAAAGTATTTTTTAGCGTAGGTGCTCAAGTACGGGTGCTTGCTCATCTTTAAGACGTAATTTCTTATCTTTTCCCTCAGTACAGCCCTACCGCTCGTATTGATAGGTTCTTTATCCGCGAGCTGCACGTGTCGTCTTTCATCCACAGTGTTCTCTTCGCGATCGCAACGTGCAAACACACTATCCTTCGCAGCTGAGAAGTCTTTGGCATCCTTTTCCGCGCTATGTTCCCTCAATAAATCGTTTAAAGCATCGCTGTCTTCCTCATCTGCTTCGGGCACGCTCACCTTATCCTCAAAAAACAGATTTTCAGCGAAGTCGTCGGTGCGCAGCACCCCTTTCAGACACGCATCCTCATACTTTTCGTACATAAGAAGCTGTCTAATCCCGTCTACCGTCCATATTCTATTGCTAAACACGCCCTGAACCATCTGTTTAAGCCTGTAAAACGCTGTAAAATTGTCAATCACCCTCTTGGTCCTGTATATATCGTAAATGCTCATCTTTTCCCCGCTTTCGCCCTCAAAAGTGTTAATACAGTGCAAAGCTATGAAATTCACATCATATCCGTCATACAGCTTCTTGATAATCTCCGTGTTGTGGATTCCATTGTTTTTAGCGTAGCGCAGAACATCGCTGTATGCAACATACGCTTTCTCGTGTTTGTCTTCAACAGCGCGCTCTTCTTTCTCCTCCACTTCGTATATATAGTCGTATTCGTGCCCTGTACCGAAAATTTCCTCCAGATTGGCGGGCTCAGCCTCGTCATAAACATTAGAGGGCGTCTCGCTCTTCTCCTCGAACAGGTTGTCGAGATCATCGTGTTTCTTTGCTGTTCTTACACGTTTGTATATTTCCTCCTCTTCTGACGATGCGTTCATTGCCAAGGGCAGTTTCAAAACAAATAAAACTTTTTTGCGCAAATTTGCCGGCCCGGTGTATTTGTGGAACGCACTGCGGTACTCGTTTGGAACGAGCCGTGCTTTCGCAAGTCTGCCGGTCCATTCTTGAGCATGCAGGAAATAAAAGAACCTCAGGTTGACCAGCACTTCCAATTCGCACAGTTTGTTCACGAGAACACTTCGTAAATTCTGCTAATCGTGTCCATTTGGCAGTGCCACGGGTTTAACGCAACCATTCGCTCTTCAACACCACGAGCCTCTGTGATGAGACAGTAATCTGGTCCATGGTATGAGTGGAGTGCCCATGCCCATACAAATGTGCTATTATAGACGGGCACGCCCACATATTGGTGAATGGTTCGAACGATCTTTTTCGTGGAACAGAAACATAACAATACCTGTTCGTGCTGTTGTGTTGACAGATAAGTAAAAATACTTTCAACAAAGGATATTCTACAAATACCGCATGATAAACTGTTAATAATCGTTAGAGTTGGGCGTGTTTCTAACGATAATAAATTATTTGAGCATTCATACAATTTAGATATATTATTGGTCTGTAGGAGATGCCTGATGTCAGCATCAAAACCTTTCTCCTATCACAGCGATGAGGTGATGCTTAGCGATAAACTGCCTAATGTAGCAATCATGGATTCATTACCAGCACAAAAAGAGCTCTGGTAGCAAACGCGTTCAATGCCTTCGTTCACCGGTACCACAAACTGAGCCTGACGCAACTCAGAAAATAAAAACACGATCAGACCACCATCTAAGCTGCATTACCTTAAGAAAGCCTAGAAAATTGCAATTAGCAGCGTTTGGCTGGGAAAAGCCCAAAAATACCCGGTACGTTCTCATGCGGCAAAATGATAAATCATGATCCACTCTTCAGGAAAGACCAGAGAACACAAATAGCATAAAATGATGTTTACTCATCCTCTTCTCCTCCTATCCGCTCCTGCGCTTTCCTCAGCCCTCAGCAGCGGATTAACGCCCTCAGCCTTGCTGTTCCACAGATCGGGCGAATAAAAATTGCTTGCCCTCACCAGCGCGTCGATGGTCGCCTTGGCAAAGTTCTCCGTGTTGCACGTCTGCCCTGTACTCTTACTGTAAATATCCTTTACGCCAGCCATACGCAGAATGGTCCTTGGAACACTACCGGCCACCAGTCCAGTTCCCTTAGGGGCAGGGATCAACTTGAGCCGCACCGACCCAGCCTTTCCATGCGCAGTAACCGGCACCGTATGCACCATACCAACGCTGCTCGACCAATATCCCTGCTTGACATACATCAGCGAACACTTAGCGCGCTGCATCGCGCCACGTATCGCAGTGGCAGCGTCTCTGCTCGTCTTGGCACCAATACCGACAAAACACTTGCCATCGCCCACACAGACCAACGCCTTTATGCGCGTGCGCTGTCCAGCCTTGGTCTGCTTCTGCACGCTCTTCACGCATAGCACCTCCTCCTTGAGCGAGTCCCTCAGGAAGAAGTCCACGATTTCTGGCTCTTTGATGGACAGTGTGTACGTAAAAATATCTGCCAGGGTAACCTTGGAGGCCTTGACGAGATTGCCAAGATGAGTCTTGGGCTGCCACGCGTCTGAAGGGTTTATGTTCTCACGTGTGCGACGCGGTCTTGCTCGCTGTTCTTTCGTGCCTTCCATTTCTAAGGGATAAAAAATATTTTTTTACAAATTTGTGGGCAGCGAACTGAGCAGGCCATCGCATGGCAGACCGGCCGTGACCGCTTTATCGAACGGTGCTACGCCGTTGCACCGAAAGAGAAGTAAAAATCGGTTGATGAGCGGAAATGTTCACCGCAAATGCGGGCCCTTACCATTGCAAGATGGCACATGGTATGGTCTTCACAACATCCCGGCAGCTAGCGCACCTTAGCGTTCTTGATAGAATCTTCATCCAGAACCAAGCGCCATGGCTGTACCCTGGTACAGCCCCAGGATTGACAGGTGCTATAAATGTAAATTATGCCAACGTTGTGCAGAACAAGGTAAGAGCGCGACACGTAAATTGAACTGCTACGATTTTGCTAGCAATACACGGATGTATTACCGCTCAAACTACGCCGTGCTCAGCCAATTAACAAATATAACACGTACATCGCACTACCACCAATACAAAGTACCTCTTAGCACACTACCACCAATACAAAGTACCTCTTAGCACACTACCACCAATACAAAGTACCTCTTAGCACACCACCACCAATACAAAGTACCTCTTAGCACACTACCACCAAACTAAATCTACCTCGTATCTCAGCTACGCCTCACTCCGTTCCAGCTGTCAACTATCCACAGTTACTTCCTTCAGTACTGCTAATACGTGCTGGTAGGTACATTTCTTGGTACATGTGCAACCGATCAAAACATCCATAAATGTAGGATTTCATCCCTTCGTAGAAAATGCCGAAGCAGAAACAAAGGGTCCGTGATCAAAATACAGAACAAGCTGTGGCAGGTGCCAACACACCAGAACAACTACGTTTACAGGACATAAAGGTAAAATTTAGCGACACAAACCTGCAGACCAACGAAAAGTATTTCCTTGAGACTGAGTTCATGAAAATTGATGAACCTAAAACGCCTTACAACAGGAAGCGTATGGACATGTGCAATGATTGCAGTATGAGTGATAAAGAGTAGCTTTCAGGTTTACATTGTGGTGTTGATGTCGTGCCTGCCATCTGATCACGTGTTCATCCATGTCTCCTCTTCTATTTGAGCAAAAAAAGTAAAATTAGTTCATTCCACCGTTGGTTAGAAACCTGTTCGTTTGGCCGGGTAAGGGCAGTACCAAGAATTACCATGAAGAAGAAATGTAAGATTGTTATGAAACTCGTCCGTTTATACAACGTACAAGTACGTGCTCTTCCTTTACATACCACTATAGTGCAAATATACGCTTTGTCTTACACCTTTTGCACCACGGTCATGGCATAGCATTCAAATCAGCACTTCAAGTGTTTTTCATCTCTCAGCGGGAGGTACAAACAGAAATAATCTCAACATGCAGAGATAAGCCTAAAAATGAACTGAGCAGTTATCTTCCCGGACATGTTTGTTTAGCGTGTCTTTACGCTCTGAAAATGCCATGTGTGATGAAAACGTTCGCTATCCGTCAGGGCACTTGATATTCTGTGCAATCAGCCTTCTCATAAATTATCCTGATTGCGGCCCACACACAAAAACATCTTCCAGCAGTGGTGGTCGCAAATTTACGGTTCAAGAGTATCAAACGGAAATAAAATTATTTCTTTGCTACTTCCACGGCAGCATTTGCAATCTAAAACGTGATCCATTGGCACCGCAAACTCGGTTTTATTAGAATTAAATTTGTTTGCCACACGCTTAGCTTTTTGTGTCCTTGGAGGTCTGTTTAAGTCAGCTCGGCTGCAGGTTCTTTCTCCACACCAAACCATTTAATTTTTAATTCCCGCACCCCCATGCAGAACAAGTTCCCTACCATTGAGGAAATAGCATATGAGGAAATATACGGCAAAAAGCGTCCACAGAGCAAGCCACACTCCATAAAAACAGCGCACAATCTGCGCCAGAGCACATCGCCGCATCCCACAAGATCGTGGTCGGCACTCAACGTACCGCATCGGCCGCCAATCAAGCCTTCTAGCACGGTAAGTGCGGTTGAGCGGGCCGCTGGTATGCACGTGGTCAAGGGGTACGTGAATGAACGTAACCGACTTATAAGGGTGCAGCATGAGAAGGGTGGAGTTAATTTCTGTGATTGCGGATCGGTGATGGTCTTTGAGGATTTTGTGCGTGTTAAGATGTTCTTGGAGAGGTGGGGTGTTATTAATTGCAAGGAGGAGTTGCTTGGTGATGTGATTGGGGTAGAGCAGCAGATTGAACGGGCTGTTGGGGGCAGGGCTGATGAGAATGAAAGAGGAGTTGGTAGCGATGGCCAAAATGGGGATGAAAGGGGAGTTGGTAGCGATGGCCAAAATGGGGATGACAATGTCAAGGCTACCGATGCAAACAGCGATTTGACCGGCAGCACTGCCAAGGGCACAAATAAAGAACAAACCGTAGAAAGCATAAATAACTTTTTTAAAGAAAACGATTTCACAGAAAAGAAAATACCGCCCATCAAAACATGCCAGTGCCCCACTACCGAGTCATCATACAACCTAAAAGATACCACCATAGTGTGTGAATCGTGCTTAAAAAGGGGGAGGTACCCCGACAGCATATCACGTTCAGATTTTCGTTCACTCCAAGACATTGAGCCGTACCTCACCGACATAAGCGATGAGAATTTGCTGAGCGGCGTGCGCAGATACGGTGATGACTGGCAGAGAGTGGCACAGCATATGAATGTAACGAAGGAGGAGTGCGTGTTACGGTTTTTGAAGAAGGAGTTGGTTGGTGTGAGGGATGTTGATGTGGAGGTGCTGATGAGCAGTGGTAATCGTATTATGAGTGTTGTGAGCTTTTTGTGTAGTTGTGTTGATGCGCGGGTTGCTGCTGTGTTTGCAAGGAGTGTTATCTGTGATTATGAGAAGGAGAGTGGAGTTGAGAACAGCAGAGAAGATGGAGCTGAGAACAGCAGAGAAGATAGAGCTGAGAACAGCAGAGAAGATGAAGCTGTGAACAGCAGAGAAGATGGAGTTGAGAACAGCAGAGAAGATGGAGCTGAGAACAGCAGAGAAGATAGAGCTGAGAACAGCAGAGAAGAAAATAAAAACCATGAAAGTGATCATGTAGATGAAAATAATCAGATAAGCAGTACCAAATACGTACATGATGAACAAAATGGAACAACCACAGACAAACAAAGCGTAAAACACTCTATTCTCGTTACGAATGCCCTTGCAGCAGCACAAGACAAGGCAAAAGAGCTGCTCATCCTGGAACAGGACAAGATGATAAGATTGGTAGAAGTGATCTTAGAGGCACAGGTAAAGAAGATGGAACTAAAGGAGGAAGCGTTCACTGATCTGAAGGGCAGTTTCAAGAATGAAAGGATTGAACTGATGAAGATCAGGGAGGGGTACAAGAGTGAGATTGAGGAGATTAGGAAGGAAATATGAATTAATGGCAGTAGCACGGTACTACGTATTGAAGATGAATGTGTGGTACCGATCTGTGCTGAGAAGTGCAAATCATCGTTAACTACGTGCGTATGCTCTGCATATTTGGGAGAAAGGAGGGGTAGGAAATGTTAAACAACAGCAAAAATAATGTTAGAGGAGGAGACCCTTACCATTAAAGTATTTGTTAGTGCTAAAATAATTATTTTGGTAAAGAAACGTATGCTTGGAGCGGTCCGCTTCTTCATTTCGTTTCTACGGGGTGATCAGACCGCACAGAATGCGTACCATTTTGGTAATGCTACCTCATCCCAAATAAAACGTTCTGTTTACGTCAGAATTGTTATTTGTACCATTCCACTCTCCATCCACTCTCCATCCACTCTCCATCCACTTTCCATCCACTCTTCATCCACTCTCCATCCACTCTTCATCCACTCTTCATCCACTCTTCATTCCTTATCTCACACTCAACACCCCAGAACATAAAACCGTTCTACTAAACAAATATCACACGAACCATTCCTCGTCTGCTAAGTGCAATGTACCGGTAATGTCTTAGTGACACATTGATTGATACAGTTACTCCCACATGTCAACACCAAAAGCATTCTTAAACAATTTTGTACTGCTCTGTTCTATAGAGCAGCAATCCACCGGTAATTGTACCGTTAGGTACGAGCAATCACCTCTTTCATACGATCATGCCCGTATCATTGCGTGACCGTTATTGCACGTTTTACTGTGCTGAATGGCCGGTTATTAGCGGTAAATGGTGAGTACGGCAAGAGAGCGGCAACGGTACGGTTTACCGCCATAAACGCACTTTACTGCCATTAACACGTCCTTAATACGCAACCATTGCGCACTCTTCGGTATCAAACCCGGCAAAGCACATTCTCTCTCACCAATTAACCATAAATAGCATAAAACCAAAAAAATTTGAACCACCACATTTTATTCTACAACTTACCTCTTCCTCATTTAGAACGGTGTGCAAAGTATAATTAAGATAAAAAGGAAGGAAAATAAAAGGAAGAGCAGGAAAGGAGAAAGAATGCTAGAGCACATGGTTTTGCAGTTTATGTTATTTTGCAGTACTTGTACGGTGCTGTTCTTAATTTAGTATATTTTGTGGTGAAAGGTAAGTAATAGCGTATTTACTTATGAATAATACGTAAATACGTACATAATATATGAATAATACGTAAATACGTACTAATATATGAATACTGTGTAAATACGTACTAATATATGAATATGTTACAATACGCTATTACTTACCAATCACACCACTACGCTATTACTTATTACACACCAATACGCTATTACTTACCTTTCACATCTTTGCTTACCTACAACATATTGCTAATACATCACTAATAACGTATCAGTACATCACCAACAGCGTATTAATACGGTGCTGAAGCCTAGCATCCTAAATTTTAAACATTTATCGCTCCATGAATTGTTTCTTATCGAAAAAAAAGTCAACATAATTGATAAGAATACAAAAATAAGAAATGACGTACTACGCTGTGACTGGTAGATGCGGTAATTTTTATTTTTTGGGATTTGTGCTGAATACGGTATTGGGAGCGTGTGCACCATTTGCGATGTGCTGGTGTGTGCGGTTTACACACCATACACGGTGTACCATTCAGTACCGTGTACGTAAACGTGCTGTACTCATTGCGTTTATAATTATCCAAAATTAAAACCAGTTTAAAAAGGAAATCTGCTGAGATTTCCTTGAGACCGAGAGGCAGAGACGGTTACTTTAATGCACCGCACACCCGCATTAATTACTGATTTAATAACATTTTTAATTATAAATAATTTTACTTATTGCACAGGCAGGCGCAGCAAAAGAGCGTGGTGTGCTGGCGCACACATTTTTATCAAATCAAAAAAATAGCAAATACGCGATAAAACACGATTGAGAGCAATGACTGCCGTATTGTTCACGTGATGTGGAGGTACGCATTTTGTGGTTAGTAGGAGGAAAAAATATGGCAGAATATTGTGTAGTAATAAAGTATTGTGTAGTAATAAAATAATAGAATAACATTAAAGTAAATTTGTGGTATTTTAATGTAATTGCAGTGTTATAAACTATTTGTTACTTTGATGATAAAGTGGTGATAAAATAGCATTGAGTGATAGAAAGGAAAAAGGAGGAGATGATTGATGGTGCGGTGATAAGGAACGGGTTGATGTATTGATAATATTTTTATTATTGGTAAATAATACATAGCAATACATCACTGCTAATAATAATGTTTATATCAGGTCTTTAATACTGCGCAATAAAATATGAATTGTTGCTGATACATGAAAATAAATAATTTGTATTATTTTAATATTAACGTAGAATATTTAATTTAGAAATAAATTGTAACGTATTTAATACGTTGGTATTGTATTGTGGTAGAGGAATGGGAGAGTAGAGTGATAGACTATTATTAATAATTGCTATTAAAATTGCTATTAAAATTGCTATTAAAATTGCTATTAATAATTGCTATTTAATATCACATATAATATTGCTATTTAATACCACATACTATAACCACATATAATACCACATACTATACCACATATAATACCACATATAATACTACTATTACATATATCATTAAATACCATATTAAATACTAAATATAATACATGCCATACTAAATACACACTTACCCATAATCCGCTACTATCCCCATTCTAATAATTCCTTTTCAAAACCAATAATTCATTTTAAATTCTTTATGAACACATTACATTCAAAAAAGGAAACACCAACATCTTTTATCACACCTATCATTTTTAATTTAACAGTCAGCCATTTAACTATTTAAGAAAAAAAAATAAGCGAGCCATGTACACAGAGCATCCTAAAGAAATAAATGTGAACAGATTTTACTTCGTGAGGCACAAAAATAACTTAAGACCACGGGTATTTCATGCATTGAAGGTACATAACGATGACGTGGTTGGCATTGTTAATTTTAAGAAGGAGGAACGGATAAAGAGGAGCGAGCTGCTTAGGTTTGACGTGAGGAGTAGGCTGTTTAAATTTATGATGAGAATGTCTACGTTTAGGAATGACACTAATATTAGGAAGGCGCTGCAGAAGATGAAGATGGACGAGTATAAGAGGCATGGTAGGGATGGGGAGAGCAGGGAGGTGTATGGTGGGTGCAGAGACGGGGAGAGCAGGGACAGAGAGAGCGGAGGAGCGGGAAAGAAAGAACATACTGGAGATAAAGATGGCGAGAGTAGTAGGGATGAAAGGAGTAGGGATGAGGATGAAGAGGGCAACAGTACCAGTGCTGCCGGCAGAAATCATTCAAACGCCAATCTAAACATTAACCGTTATCCTACCGGTAAGAATAACGAAATGGTAAAAAGTAGCCGTAAGACATTAGAATGCATAAACAATGCGGAGAGAGACAGTTTCCTGCTCAGCAAAGACATAAATTGCTTCCTGAAAAGTGAAAGACGCATAAATACGTTTGACCGAGACATAACGGAACAGGAATTTGAGAGGGCATACAAGGAATACGTCCTGATGGATGATAAATTTATTCCTGATTCGGAGAAGAACAGCGCAAACATAATAGTACCGGGCACCAAAGAGATAAACATGTACAGCCTGTATCGCATCGTATCCGAGAACGGTGGAATGGAGAACGTAACAAACGAACAGAAATGGAAAAGCCTGTTTTACGGCGCAATGCGCAAGACAAACGTGAGCTACACAGTGCGCACGTTCTACAAGAAGTTCCTGTACGAGTTTGAACAGTACAGACGTGCTAGGCATTACGTGAACTGCGAGTGCACCGGCATGTGCGAATGCAACGATTTCGTGGACTGTATGGGTGCTGAGCACGGGAACAAGGACAAGCCTGATTTTGCATACAAGTTCAAGATCAGAGAAATCGTAAAGTTGGCAACTTCTAAGGAGCGGTACTACGGCCACGTAAAATTGAGAAGGAATAGGGGACTGAACCAGTACTACGTGCAGTTTATGGGATGGTGTAAGGAGCATAGCGAGTGGTACTGTGAAGATGTGCTTTCGAAGTGTGAGCAGAAGAGAGAGGGGTATGTGGTAAGGAAGCCGAGCAGATCGAGCAAAACGAACAACTTGGTGAATGATCCTTTGATAAGAGAAAAGCACAGCCATACGCGTACGGAAGGCGAGTTTGAGAGGGATGAGCGTAAATATGGGGAGATGATGTATGATGAGGGACATAGGGTTTATGGTGGGGAGGGTAGGTATGATAAGTCGTACGAGGACCGCAAATACGAGAAATCATACGAAGACCGCAAATACGAGAAATCATACGATGACCGCAAATACGAGAAATCATACGATGACCGCAAATACGAGAAATCATACGAAGACCGCAAATACGAGAAATCATACGATAACCGCAAATATAGCCCGTCTTATGTAGACCATGCCAACACCGATACAAACATCCCCAACAAGTACTTCCTAAGCAGCATTGACAAAAAGGTAATAGAAATGCGCAATACAATTCAACGAAACTTGGAACGCAATCAAATTGAAGTTAATAATCTAGAAAGTGACATAAAAAATAAATTGGAGAGGGATATAAGAAATTGTGTGCAGAAGGGGATGGAAAATGAAATGGGAGTGATGAAGGGAGGTATGTTGGGGGAGTTCAAGGTGAAGAAGGATGTGGGAGGTGCTCTAAGACATAGAAAAAGTAGTGAGGAAGAAGGCATGAAGTATGTAGATGATTCTGTAAGGCGAAGTGGTGGGGATGAGAGAAGGAGTGGCGAAGAGAGCAGAGCAAAGTATGTGGAGAATGCTATGTGGAGAAATGGTGAGGAGAGTAGGACTAAATATGTGGATGAGGAACACGCAGTAAAACACAGGGATGAAAACAGGATGAAGTACGGTGATGAATGCATTAGAAGAAACAAAGAGTACGGCACGGGTACAGACAAGTCTGAGGCACAACACGAAAACAAAGATGAATTTGTTGCACTCAGCACGTGTGATAGCGAGACATTATCTGTTATTGCATGTGCTGCACATAAAAGAAGTGACATAGATTTTTACGAGCACCATTCAACGGGTGATTGTCCATCAGCAGTTGCCAAGAGCCAAGGAAACTTAGGTGTTCTGTTTGATCACGAGGTGATGAAATACGTACAAACGGAGAGAACACGAATGGTGGTGAAGGGGAGTGACAGAGAAGTGCTTAAGAAGTACTACGGGGTGCATGGGGATGAGTGTGTCATTAATATCAATAATTACATGGTGATAGGGTACTTCACAGAACTGAAGGAATAACAATTAGCAGTACTTCTTATGCAAAACATATTAAGTAAATACGGTTTATTTTATAGATGGTGTGAGCACGGTGTTACCTACGATTTGTTTTAATATTGGTAGTTATGGTGATGGGGTGTTGATAGTATTAATATTTAATATTAATAATATTGGTAATAGTGTTATTTAATTTTGGTAATGGTGTTATTTAATTTTGGTATTTAATATTAATAATATTGGTATTATTATTAGTTAGTTATTATAATTATTAAATACTAAATATTAATAATAGTACCAGTATTAAATACTAATACAATTATTATTACTACTACCAATATTAAATACCAAATATTATTACTAACACCTGTACTGCTGCTTATTCGTGCACATTTCATATTTGGTTATTTCCTTTTTGCTTTATTTCCCATTATTACCATTTTATATTTCCTTACAATACGGCACGTATTACATGACATGTGTAGGTAATAAATTTACAATTGCTATTGCTTTAAATACGATAATATCACAGCGGTAGATGACATGATCAAACACAACATAAATGGAATGTTATTACGTGTTAATACGTAATAATTGCGTAATACTTCACTTTATCACTCAATACTTCATTTCTAGTACTTTCCATGTTTAACTAAATTATTTTTAATTACAAAATGTATTATCGTTTAATCCACGTGTAATTAATTTTTAATATTAAAAATTATTAATTGTTGATTATTACACCATTTTATTAATTGTTATATTACTCTGCTTTAGGGCGGTTCGAACTTAAAAATGGTAAAAGATAGAATGGTAGAAATACTAACAATATAAAAAACATTAAAAGCACTAACAATATAAAAAACATTAAAAGCACTAACAATATAAAAAACATTAAAAATATTAAATGTCCTACCACTCTAAGATCACCAATACTATAAATCACCATGCTACATAAAAATAAACAAAAGAATGGCAACCAACAACCACCTACCGGATCAACAAAGCGAGCTAAAAATAGTAATAGACCAAAATAACGCACCTAACAACAAATCAGACAGCTCTATCCCAACCAGTGTATCATCCATTACCACACTATCCAACATACAAAACGATACAGCACCACGCACTGGTACGTGCAATAATACGTGTATGAAACAGCTGATGCATGCTATGCGTGGTGAAGGAACGCTTAACACTACTATTCGTGAGTTTGTGGATGGTTTTGGAGCTTTACCGAGTAACACGCACCGGAACACTTTGGCACGGTTTTATGATTATTTGAGGATTACAGGTGAGGTATGCTGTGATGTGGGAGTGTTTTATGTTGAGAAGTACCTTTGGGGTGTTGAAGAGGATGGGGAGAGGAGTGGAGAGAGGAGTGGAGAGAGGAGTGGAGAGAGGAGTGGAGAGAGGAGTGGAGAGAGGAGTGGAGAGAGGAGTGGAGAGAGGAGTGGAGAGAGGAGTGGAGAGAGGAGTGGAGAGAGGAGTGGAGAGAGGAGTGGAGAGAGGAGTGGAGAGAGGAGTGGAGAGAAGAGTGGAGAGAGGAGTGGAGAGAGGAGTGGAGAGATAAAGAAAAAAAGAAGTGAACAGTTTGATAAGGGAACGGTAAAAAAAGAGAGAGAAGGAAAAATAAAAGTAAAAGACAAGTATAAGATAAAAGACAGTGATAGGATTAAGTACGGGAATAAGAAAGAGGAAAAGAGCGATGACCTGGACAAGAATAACGAAGATAAGAATGGTAGATATAGCAAGGAAAAGAGTAGCAAGGAAAAAAAGTATAAAAAGAAAGAAAAACGCATAAACAAGCAAGAAGGTTCTCATCACTTTAGTTACGCATTCAATACCACACCGATACGACCAGTCATAAAAATACGTAAGGATGATAACACCCTGATCAACAACAAAATAGAACTGTACGGATTCATAGAAGAGCACCACCTAGAAATACAGCCATTCACCAACGACCAAATAATCACGTACTTCAGAACGATAACGCATAAACACTCCGTAACGGAGAAACTGAACGTGATCATAAAAACGATCAAGGATGCGTACGCAATGGTGGGCTGTAAAAACGGAATAGAACGGCTGCTCACCGTTCTGATCTACGTGGTTATCAAGAGCAGAGTTAAGGATTTGTGTGTGACAGCGGGGATTGTCAAAGAGTACAGGAGGAGTACGTACCTGCCGTGTAACGGTGCACCAAATACGTGCACTCATCTCCAAGGAATACGTGTGTATGTACGGCCGTGTGAGTGCTATGTACGACCATTTCTGTCAAACTCAGAAACTGAGTATTATCTTACTGTGTTTGAGTCTGCGCTTTCTTTTATTAAGGAATTGGAATTCGGTAAGCTGAGGATAAGCAAGGAAGAGTATGATAAGAATATTTTGAAGAGGATAGAACGGATTGAATGAGGGATTGTACTGCTGGTAATGATTTATATGGTAGTATTTGTGGTAGTTAGGAAGATAATGAAGGGGAAAGAAGGGGAATGAAGGGGAATGAAAGGGAATGAAAGGGAATGAAGGAGGATGAAGGGGAATGAAGGGGAATGAAAGAGAATGAATGAGAATGAAGGGGAGTGAAGGAGAATGAAGGGGAGTGAAGGAGAATGAAGAGGAGTGAAGAGGAGTAATAATCTCCATCTTAATACATCTCTCACATCCTCCTCTTTCCTCCTAGCCCATTTCAACAAACCAACTTTTATTCCCCACCCCCTTAGTAACCCTCAATGCCGACCAACATCCTAACCATAAAGCATGTACCATTTGTGCCGCTGTCCCTCATCAAACAACACTTCTCCTTGTTCTACCCATGCACCGTATCACACTCAACCAACAAAATAACAATCACGTACAAAGCACCCCAACACGCCTTATACACCCGTAAAGTGCTCACCAACACAACGCTTAACAATCATGCCGTTACATTCATTCTCAAGAGCAAGGCACGGGTGTACGTGAAGGAGAGTGATGAGAGAATGGCGTATGATCGTGCGAGTAAGTATGGAGAGTGTGTGGTGGGAAGGAAGGGGAGAGGGTGTGTGGTTACGTTTGAACGGTTTAAGAGTGCGGATGAGTTTGTGATGAATGATGGGGGAGAGTATGCGTTTAAGAGTGGTAATGAGAGGTGGGGCAGTGTATCGGACAGGGAGGAGGAAGAAATGAGCGATGATTTGGTGCACGAGGTGTAAAAATGGTAAGGTAAGGGTGTAGGAGTAGATGTGTGAATTGGTGAGTAGGTAAATCAACAGTACCAATTTATCTGAAAAATAACATGAACGGTGTCCTGCTGGGATAGAAAATATTGGCAGTGCTAATAGGGAGTGTTTTGATTGATGAGTGCGTGCGATAAGGTAGGACATACCGGTACAATTTGGTCGTGGTAATGCTACTCGTAACACATTACATCACCAGTAAGAATGAGCACTTCAATAAATGAATACGTTAATACAAGCACAGTAATTTTATTGTATTCATACCACCAAGACCTAACAACACTCAAATCACTGTTAATACCTGTTAAAATACTACCACTCATGTAAACACAGAATAATACGTTTGAATTACACCGCTCATAAAACACGATTAGTAGCTGCCGAGAAAGTGATGCCTTACATCAATAAATCATCTCCTACAGCAACGATTCCTACTTTGTTATTTATTTATAACACATACCTCGCTATGTGTGTACAAAAATAGACACGATCTATCCTACAACAATCTACAAATTTAACACCTTACTAAAACTCTTCCCCAATTCAATACAGAACGAGTGATCCTTCTTCAATCTCTTGTTGAACTTGGCAATCGAGTTATTGATCCAACAGGCATAGCTAAAGTCGGTGGTCTGTCCGTGCTCCTCTAGGGTCTTCTCTACACTCTGCTTTAAATGATCTATTACCTCTCGAAAATATTCTATCTCCTGCTCTGAGTTGCTTTCTGTCACCAACTTGCTTATCTCCTTGTACTTTCTATATGTCAGGTCCTGCTTGATCTTCTCATCGTATGCTATAAATACAGACTGTGCTTCCTTTAGGAAATACATAAATTCTTCAAACTTGTTTTTATCCTCTCCTCTGTTCAAGGTACAAAAATTGATATGGCCGGTACCGTGTGATGCATCATCCTCTTCCGTTGAGTTATGTAAGCCTTGCTCGTTGCTGCTCACCTCCCCGTCACTTATTTTACCACCGCGCAGATCATTCCCAGTTTGTCCGCTATGTTTCCCAGACAAAGCGTCTTTACCACCATTATCCTCATGATTGATACTCTTTGCACCAGTGCTAGTGCCGTTCTTCGCACCAGTGCTATTCACACCCCCATTGCTGTCTTTACACACATTTTCATCGCCAAGCTTACTCAGTACCCCACCGCCATCCCTATCAGTGCCTGTTTCCCTAATCAGCCGAATACCCTCTTTCTCCGCTTTTCTATCGTCAAAATACACTTTCAATTTTTCTACTATATCCGTTAGTTCTGACCTGCCCTTCACGCCCTTTATATCCATAATCAATTTCTTAATCATATCATCCGTGCTCAGCTCCTTAACTTCTACTCTAACACGTTTGCTAGCCATTTCCTCTGTTGCATCATACGATGGTACATTACATTCCTTGGGCTGTTCAACAGCAATGCCTAGCTGCCTGTACCTATCAAGAACACTCTCATCATTAGAAACACTGTCACCGGCCGGTCTGCTCCTCTTTTCCGCTGCATTGTGCTGATAGTTACCATAAAAATTAGCATTAATGCCATTGTGGCCACCTGTACCGCTGTACGTGTTATGGCCGTTATAGTAATTACCAGCACTTGGTACACTGCTAATTGGCACGTTACCTATCGATACGCTGTTATTCTGTGTACCGCATCGTAAAGCATTCCTAATCGGTACGTTGCTGAGTGATACGCCATTGCCCGTGCTATTCCTGCCTGCAGCACCCCTTGTATCATTAACCGAACTATTCTTGGTAGCATCCCTTCCTGTACTACAGACCGCACCATTCCTGTTCGTATCTCTTCTCGTGTTACTAACCATGGTATCCACTTCTACACGATCTGGTTCACCCTTACCACTCCTGTCTATATCACTCCGCTGATTTGTATCCGCATCGCTACACGCACTTTTATCAGCATTACTACCATGTTCGGCACTGTTCGCAGCACCATTGACACGATCACCATCCTCCTCGTCTAACCTGTTCTTTCTACCCTGATTTATGCTGCTATTGCGCAGTATCTTTCCACTTTCCAACTCCTTCAATGAACATAAGTTCATATTAACGTTCCTATTACCAGGCCATTCCGTGACTCTCGGATTGAACGAATTATCGTACCTGTTGATCGGTCTATCATACGGTCCTGCACGGGAAGAAACGTTTACACCTGCAGGATAGAAAGGGTTGCCACTCATTCTCTTGATGTACTCGACACTGCTACTCTCCTTGCCGCTTATCACTCGCTGCGATTTAGGGTATCCCATCATTTCCACGTTGCCAAGGACACTCCCCTCACCAATCGTACGTTCCATTCTGATCCTCTTTATCATTTCTTCCTGGGTACGTTCAATGGTTGGAGACACATGGTTAGCACCTGTGCGTTCTACACTACCATTGCCCATGTGCTTTGTAGCAGCTAACCCCTTTCGCTCATTCGTGCCCGATACACTGCCATTCAATGTATTAAGGTCTGTAGATGTGTTGTTGGTTCTCATCCTGGTATTGACAAAAGCACCGTTCAAAATGCTATCAGTAATGGTCTTGAGGCTGTTCCTAGGTGGTTGTTCGTTAGTGTTCCTGATTCTGAGCACACCCGTGTTATCAATAAATTGTTGAGCAGCGGGTGGACCGCTCTTCGTACCATCAATGGATGTGCACTGATTTGCTGCTTGGTTGACATCACGCTCGTTAACAGCAGCATACGTTTTATTCACGAAGGTGTACTGACCGGTGCTGTTTGCTGCACGTTTAAAACTACCCGGTGAGACGAAACGGCCTGCACTGTTCATGCCGTTGGCCATGCGCTCGGGACCGCCTGGTGAGACGAAACGGTCAGCATTTTTGCCACTCTCCGCATTGTCCGTACGTACACCGCTCATGTGGTCCGCATTGCTCGTAAAGTGCTCCGAACCAAATGCCTGCACGCTGTTCATGTACTGGTTCATGCCATTCGTACCTCGACTGTTATTTAATTGTGCATCGTAGTAGGTGCTCTGCAGCACAGAGTTGCATGTACTCCTATCCAAATAGTCCCTCTGCTTCATACTCATACCACCTGCATTACCAGACATGCGTGGCGTGCTACCACTCGTAACGTTCAAATGCGTGTTGTTATGAAAGACATCGGTGCTCGGGTAGTTCTTAAACGGTGGGTCTCTGACCGCTTCCTTGTTTCTGCTGCTTTGATGCAGGGACGTGCCCAGCGCCTGTTTATTGATCATATCATACACATCTGGTGCAACAACGGTGCTCGTCCTATTTGCCTGTTGGCCAGCCGTGTTGTACACATCTGGTGCAACAACGGTGCTCGTCCTATTTGCCTGTTGGCCAGCCGTGTTGTACACACTCGGTGTAGCAGCTGCACTCATCCTATTTACTTGCCTATTGCCGTTGTAACCGTTCCAAGGAGATGTTGTGTTCGTTCCTCGTGGCATATTTTCGCTGTGTTGAACTCCCATCTTTTGGCCGTTCTGGTACGTACCATGCATATGAAACATCCGTTCCGCTAGACCTGCAGTACGTGATGGGAGACCCCCACCATTAGGATATACGTCTCTGTTCTGGTTCTGATAGGAGTTGCTCACAGTATAATTGTTGTGATGCAGTGTCTGTGGATAAACACCCTGGCGTTGATAGGACACGTTCTGATGGAACATCACTTGGTTCCTGCTCATCGTTTGAGCTGCAGCGCTGCTCTTCTGTGAGATGTCTGCATTTTTGCGCACGTACTGCTGAGCGGCACCGGTTGAGGAACCGAAGTAGACAGAACTGCCCGCATAACCATTATTTGTGCGGTTGTCCTGGTACGTTGTACCACCACCTGTTGCATTCTTAAAACCAGTACCAAAACTTTGATTGTTCAAGCCATCATGGATGTATGCCATGTTGCCCATCGGCTCAACATTTTCGTTTTGCTGTATTCTGCGTGGTTGTTGAGCACTGTTGTTTGGGTAGGCCGTCATCCCCAGTGTTCCCTGCACGTTAGCACCCGTACCATACGGGGCTGCTATCTCACTATTCACGCTCATCCTACTTACAGCATCATAATTCGTGCTGACAACGGGTCTGCCCAGCTCTTCGTGCACAGCACCGGAATGACCGTTATTCTTGCTGTAAGTCACGGGCATTGTTCTGTCCGTTTTGCTGTTCATGCATCCTGTTCTGCCTTTATAATTTTTATTTTCATATGTTGCATGATTCACATCCAAATAAGCATTTCTTATGTTGGTGTACGCATATTTCTGGTAGTCCATGCTCGCGTATGCACTGTTGTAGTTCAAACTCTGCATATCGCCTGCAATTTTATCATTCCGCTTCAACGCATTGATATTCTTGATTTGAACAGGATTGTAAGTGCCCTGCGCACCAGCAAGATACATGCCATCGGCTGGCTGTCTGTTGTGGTGATAGTTGGAATCGTTCATTTGACGGTGTGCATCGTCTTGCATCGTTCCTGGGGTCACACAATTTTTTTCATTTTCCTTTTTTTGTTTAATCACGCTGTCACTTCCGAAGACATCAGCATGCATAGAAGAAAAATGCAAAGGATCGTACGTGCTAGGATGCCGACCAGAGTATGCATTACCCGCTGCATCCTGGTGTGTTTCATCTTGTCTCTCAACATCGTTGCTCAGCGCTGTGCTTGTTGTCATTTTTTTCTCAGTGCTCATTTTTTCTGTTTGTTTGTTTTTCGCTTTACCCGTTTTTAAATTGTTCGGTGATTGCTTTTGAAACAAAACGGCACCATCAGAGAATTGGTGCTGTTCCGTAGGCACATCCTGAGGAGGTGAGAACTGGCTTTTTGCCTTGCCTTTGTTGGAGAGCGAAGCGTTCTCCACGAAAAACGGGAACGGATTGTTGAAGCATGCGGTTTGATTGACACGATGTTTTGCCGCAATATCATCGAGTTGCACAGCTTGATTGGGCTGATCGTTTATTGTGTCTCCCCTAGGCTGCACGATCTGATTAGAGTGACCTTGCATGGCACCATCAGAGGACATAGTCCGGTTGTAATGACTATTCGCGGCAAAACTATCCGTATGTACGGCGTAAGGCTTTGAAACGAAGGAGTTACGTCCTATTGATCCACTAAAACCCTTTGGACCAGAACCTCGTGATGTACTATCATAACTTGAAACAGTGGCACACTGCCCTCGTGTACCGCCAAGTCCATTCGGCCCAAACAATGCATTATTTTTGAGACTTTCCGTGTTTTTGTGCTCCTTGCTGTGATTTTGGTAGCCTTTGCTTTTGGTGCCGAGCATCTTTTCTGCAAAACCGTTCTTGTCATTGCTCCTCGACGATGTGCCGTACGAGTGAATTTCTGCTCCGCTCCTGATACGATCACTATACACACTGTATTGCTCTACATCCCTGTTGTCACCGCTCTGTGAGTCTGGGCCGTTATTCCGGTTCCCGTACTTTTCAGACCCATTATTAGTGCCATGCACACTTGAGCTTCTCTCTTGCTTTGCATGCCCGTAAGAATGATAATTTATACGCGAGCTGGCATTGTAGAGACCAGATGCTCCGCCAACGGCAATTCCCCCTTCGTACCGATGTTTCTCAGCGTATTTATCCTCTCCCTGGCTTCTTGGCCCAAAATCCATTCCGTTCAATTTGTGCGTATAATTTGTATTAACCTCAGCCCGTTTGCCAGTATCTGTGTTAGGTGCTATTTGATTAGGAGCAGCATGGTCGAAGGAAGGGTGCGCGTAGTTGTAGGGGACATTAAGGGAACGATGAGTATTCGTACCGTAAAGAGCGCCGTTAATGGCAGTGCTAGGATAATGCCCGTTTATGCGTCCAGTTACCTTTTGATTGCTGTTCGCATTAACAGTGTTGAATGCGTCGTGGTATCGACTGCTGAACTGGGCTGTTTTTGATTGATATGTTGATGGAGAAAGATGAGTGCCTTTCGTGTGCATGCCGTTGCTCTCGTTCATTCCTGCCCTGCGCTCATTGGCGTGCATGCCATTGCTCTCGTTCATTCCTGCCCTGCGCTCATTGGCGTGCATGCCGTTGCTCTCGTTCATTCCTGCCCTGCGCTCATTGGCGTGCATGCCGTTGCTCTCGTTCATTCCTGCCATGCGCCCACCAGACCTGGCATACATGCTTATTCTTTCGTTTATGCACTTTAAATATCCTTCCACGCTATCGCTGGTACTAAAACACTCCTCCTCTACCGCACCACATAATCTCAGCATTTCACTCTTTTCATGCTCGCTGAAGCACGGCGACCGACTCAACACATTGTACAACTTTATCTTTACTGACTTTCTGTCTTCAATCGATATCATGAGGACGGGATCTTTTTTTTATTTTGTTTTATAAAAATTATTGGAAGAGAAAGCGAACGAATGAGAAACAGAATGATGATGGAAACGAGTTTGAGAACAATTGGATGGAGTGCTTGCTGTCAGTGCTCTGGAGCACATCAATGTCTATAAAAGGATAAATGGGCCTAGCAAAAAATAAATAAAGATGACGACACATTAATGCATTGCCAAAAAAGTCGTAATTTAAATACTTGCTTGAATGCGTTCCTGCAATGTGTACGATGACAGGTAGTACACGCGATATGCATAAAGTAATAACTTTGTTTGCTCATGCGCAGAATTGGTGCTCGTGGGCACGGCTCGCCCATATCACGGCGCAGTGCACAGAATAAGCGCTGCAGGTACGTGCCTAGCCATTTATCGTAGAAGGTAATTTAATTATCACACGTGCATTGATGCTGTGCTTGTACTTTCATCAGAATGGTACACAGATCACATTTACGAATGTTATCGTTTACCACGCCGTATTTGCCACCCTCCGCGTCTATCTTGCGAACCTTGAACGAAGTTCGTATCGGCTAATACAAAAATTTTTGAAACCGAAGATAAATATGATTTTGATACTATGCATAAGTTAGAGCTGCCAATTTTTAATGAAAATATTCATGATTGGCATAGGAAAGTGTCTGTAACTTTGATGGTGGCATGAACACGTAAATATAATTCATGGGCATGGAATAACATTCATATTCGGATAGTACGGAAATGAGGAAAGTGCTCATTTTAGATGCCTTTTACTCTCTTAGGTTCGCTTATGGTAGGGCATAGCCGTGTACACGAGAAGAAGGGCTTTACGGCCGAACAGTGCCTAGAAAGTATTTTTGTACTCTAAAGTCTAAAGGGTACTTTTCTCGCCACACATTGCTTGATTCCTGTGCTACATCGTGGTGCGCCATAGGGAAAGGATGACTAACACATGTTCAGTTTATTCCTAAAAATTGAATTTTACATTTTTAGTGTAAAGTTGGGCTGCATAAAAAAGGATGAAGCTAAGAATAAAAAGGAACGTGCGCATAACACAAATACTAAAATTAAATATTTTGGTATGGTACCTTAGCGGAAAAGAGGTGATTAAGGGATCTTTAGTATAAAATGCGCTTTATTTGTGAATATGTCATGTACAGTGCAATTCTATTTCGGCTTTTCATCACTACAAGACATTCTGATGGCTGTACAGGATGTACTGCGACCGATAGAGCCAAATTGTAATGCAGTAAACACGAGTAGTGCCAAAAAAGCGAAAAGCCGGAACAGCAAGTTTTACAAATACGTATTTTATTCGAAAGTATGCATAAAAAGCAACAAATACATCGGTATTTACGGCATGAAGCTATGTATCGATGGTCCACATGAAAAGAATGCACATTGTGACGTATTTTTGTTGATGCGCAGGTGATCACCGCACTTGTGCGCATGTCGACAAGGTAAGTGCCTGCAGAGTGTGATACGTGTGTTTCACAGCACAGAGCGTTTACGTGTTGACCGACATGGCAGGCAAATTTATTGTTTATTTAAACAGCTGAACAAAAGAACTTGGAGCGGCTGCACAGCATGAGCGTTTCTTAAGGGATGGGATAAGAACGGTTCTTGTGCAAAATAGCGATCCAGTTAATCGTATTTGACACGGGCAGAACTTAACTAAACCACTTTATTGTTCTGGCATACAAAATAAACCATCCGTATCAAAAACAGATTTGTTGCTTGGTGTACGTGCGTTAAGGCATCCTTCATAGTAAAGGTTTGATTTGCATGAATCATGAATTGTTTAAGTGAATGTGCTGTGGGAAGAAGCTTCATTTAATGCTGGCACAGGTACCGACAGGGTGTTCGCGATTTAAACGAAATAACACGAATGAATTGAATTGCCGTGATTGTACGGTAGAACGCTGATCGCAAATTTATTGGTTTGGAATGGAAGGGTGGATGAACAGAAGGAGCTCCGAGTTGGCTCAATTCGTGCCTGAAAGACATAAATTAAGGAGCACTTTGAGCTTACTTGTGCTGTTGCGGTGTGCTGACCTGCTAGTCCTCTTCTTCGGCCGATGTTGGCACAGTTTATTTATTTCTATCATAAACGTGAAGGTTCGTGGTCCACAGTATTAGCTCGATCTTACGTTATGATGCACCAGCAACCAGCGGTATCTCCTGAGAGTCATGTCAATCATCATTTTTTTACTAAAATACGCTCTACCATTTTTAACCAAGATTGTTAAAAATATTTGCGTGAACCGATCATTACCATTTTACAATGGTGTTTGCCACATCCCTTATGGCTATTGTTGCTCTATCCGCCATCCACGCGGTTTTTCATTAAAAATACGTTTACTCATCTTCTTGCACCACAGATCCTACATGACACACTTTTATAGTCTGCCATGGCCAAATAAATCTATCTCACGCTCCTATTGCACCTCAATGGTACATAAGGGAATAAATTTGAAATATTATCATCGCAGAACGGGAAGATTGCGTGCAGACATGTGCCACAAGATCAAGTTAGCAGTGCAGCTATTCTAGTTATGGATTATATTGCGTGCAGACATGGAAGGACGTAATTTGTGCGATACGACTAAGCATTTTTGTCCTCGTTTCGTTGGTATACGCGAAAGAGCGCAACATTGGGAAGAAGGCAGATTTGTATTTCGTGCAAAGGGAAAGAGCGTTGTCTCAGTATTTAAGATTTTCATAATTTTTTGTATGTCACAAAAATCATGATAAGAAGGAATTGTAGTTGTCAAAATGAGCAAAGAAAATGCACTCAGCACGAAGAATAATTGCAGGCTCGCATCATTTGATGATCTATACGGCGAGGTTATGAGTAGCAATGGCACTTTTCATGTGCCATCGATAAAATAACTAGTTTACCACTATTCACAAAGCACATCTTGAATGAGCAGGTCCTAATCACGAAACTCTGCTGTAAATACGATTCCGATAGTACCTTAACTGCGGAGTGCTCGGTATTGCCGTAACATGGCGTTTAAAACAGACATGGTGAGATATGAGAAAGATCTTGCGACAGACTTTTACAAAAAAAGATCTTCGGTCTTCGGTGGCAAGAAACAAAGCATGCAGCTACAATAGAACATGTGCTGAGGAATGTAAAATGCTAGCATGCCTTAATGTACAGCATATTTACAATGAAGAACAGGCATACACTGTGACCGAACCAATAGCTTTTGATGAAATAAAACATTAAAAATGCTGATGCTTCGCTTTGTTAAGTGCCATGTGTGCAATTGGTAATCAATTTCAGCACTTTTCAGGTGATGAACTATGCGGGCACAGATCCTCACGTTTGAGTGTATCCTTAGGTACTCGTAATTGGAGGTTCAACACATGTTAGTAGGCCAAGAAATGAGTTTGATAGACATTTCTTCCCTTTCATATCGATTACTCCGTCATAATCATGGCATTAGAGCCATCTTTTATTTCCTGGAAAGTGGGACTGGCCAGGTATACGAACGCACAAAAATAGGAAATAAATTGCCATATTTTTACTTAATTATGTGGTCTTTTGGACCATCCCTGCGTATAATACAACTGGTCCGCCAATCTGATAATAACTTACGGCTAAATCCAATGGATTGTGCATAGTGAAGAGTGATTTGCATAGGGAAGAAGCTTCCACGAAAAGGAGAGTTTTACAAATATGGAGAATATTCTTTATATAGGCTTTAACAAATATGGCAAATATATCTAATATTATGTTGGGAAAATGGAACAAAAGTTGGAGCAGTAAAATGGATGAATTTATTCTAGAAACGTGTTATAGCATATCTTTATGTTGATGAAACAGATAATTATTGGTGCTGTAGAGAGATACGACTGTGGATCTGAAGAAAACTCTTTAAGTAGGTGGGCGACGGGTGAAAGTATGTAATGGAGAATATAAAGAGCATCTATACACGTAGTTAAAGATCTTCGCTTCGTTCTACAAGTATAAGTGGCAGGAAGTGTCACATTGAAAAGGTAACAACGGCATTTCTTTTTATCTTCAAATATCATTATTATCGTTCTCAGCGGTGTTGTTTGCGATCTTTCCCGCAGGCAGATTCCATTTTAATTATTTTTCAAAGGGGAAAACTCATCTACTGTTGGCATGTAATAATAATAATTTGAACAGCTACAAAAAAGCACTTACCACCACAATAATGATCTTTCTCCGATTTAACCCGCCATAAATGCTAGAAATAATGCATAAGCCTCAACTCTGTTCCATACCTGTCATAGTACCACCTCAATTGCTTGTCTTGTGATTACTCATTAATGCCTGAACAATGAACAGAATCACACTAAATATCTCATTTCTCTTTCCAATTATTAGCATAAAGTTATTTATCATCCCTAGCTCATCGTGAACGTTTTCCAAATTATTTTTATCTTTTCTTCCATATCATCGTACACTTTCGCCATATTTTTTTGTATAACATTTTTCTCGTGTAAGCATTTATCTCCTAATACACCTATCCTTTTAGACCGGCCAGCTGCAACAGTCATCTTAGGAAAGAATCGATCCTATGCGCGATAAAACAGCTCATTGTCTATTCAAGTGTTCATTGTTTTGTTAGTTAGTGCTCAAACCAACCATAAGAATAAAAGTAGTAGCCATGAACCCGTTGTTGCACAAGCGAAGAAAATAATTCTTTTCTCCTCTGCGTAACAATCATACTGAGCAGTTTAACTCTTTTATTCTTGGTGCTATAAATTCTTTTATTTGTTGTGATCAAAAATACGGTAATCCGTTATTTCTTGCATATATTACCACTATGGAGTAACGAACGAGAATCAAGACAAATCGCTGATTAATATGGCGAATATAAGTCATGTATTGAGATATTGTAATGCTCATTAAAATAAATAGAATGATGCAATTCCTGAACCTTTACCAGGGAATGCTCAGTAATAGAAAGAATAACAGGACACATGCTCGGTAATAGAAAGAATAACAGGACACATGCTCGGTAATAGAAATAATAACAGGACACTGTCGTAATTTTAAATAAAAGCACATTTACAAAATATTATAGCACACTCAGATCACGTTTTAGACCCGAAAGTAACACGGCTGGTACGCCTCGGAACAATACTTATTCTCTTTGCCATTCTGCTGGTCATTATATAATAATTAAAAGACTTGCGATGTTACAAGTGGTAATGCAATACATTAGGGTTTGACTATGCCCAAGTTTTTTCTAAATCAGTGCGTAGCTCAGTGTGCTATTCCGATGCACGCAACTATGAATGCAATTTCCTTGAGAAGTAACGAATTAATTTGCAACCCACTGACTTCTTATGGATTCGGCTAGCACAGCCCCTGCACCCCGAAATGAACCTGATACTAAAAAACAAAGATACGATAATTTTTCAAAGAGGTTCCTGTTCGTACGAGAGCTCACCCATATTTTCCAATTTGATACATTCCCTTAACGAGGTTGCCAAGAAATACTTCAATAGCAAGTTGGTATCATTTGAAATTGGTTCAAACTTCGTAGACTATTACCGATCTGAAAGTGGGGTTGTGGTTATCTGGTGTGGAAGTAGCGAACAGAGATTGGACATGAACACTGTTTATCGGGACTATGCCAATGCTGTACTGTACGGTGATATGAAGTTGTTTACCGATAAGTATGGAAGCGTATAATCCTAGGGGAGATGTGCGAACCGTAGATAAGATGGCACCGTGATAAATAAAGTATCAGTTAGACGTACTATTTCATTACATTTGTTGATAGCTGTTGGGATAACACCAAATGTGTGTTGGCAGTTCAAGTGGATCGTGTTTTATTCGAATTGGGAAGTTTTAATATGAGATGATATACACCATGGATACCAGCCGTTATTTCGTCGCATAACGTGTATAATCCATGCGTGTGACAGGTTTTATATTAGAGAACAAATTTTTCAGCTAAAATTCAATTTCTATCCATAGCAGCAGGAATAATTGTATCAGCTGCTAATTACAGGTAGATGTGGAAGGAGACATTTTACTGAGCGTTTAACCAGCATTCCTTGTTTTTACGATTGCACTCAGAAAAATGGCACCACACTTTTCACAGTCAAAACGGAACAAATTTGCATTTTAGGTTGAACATACCGCGTTAGCCTTAGCAATCACTGATCCTAAGTGTATCTATTCCTGTTTTTAAACGAATAGCATTAGTTGATAATTTGACGTGTTATTTTTTCAATTAAACTGTCATGATCGTGATCTATTCACCCGTCATACATTCGTGAACACACATATTCATATGGCAATGTCGTATCTTATGTAGTAGAATCTACAGAATGTAACAGCAGACGAGTCCAGGGCAGTAACCATGTTACTAAATAAACAAATACTTGCCTCTTAAACAGTATCATCTAATCGTATAGAGAGAAGTATCACCACTATTTTACGTATAACCACATTAAAGAATAGCTCAGCTTTAAACACCACATAAATAAAAGTGCCACATGCAACCAAATAAATTCAATAAACGCAGCAGTTGCCGCTTTGACGCGTGATAAAGAAATTTGACATATTGTTTATCTCTGCACTGCTGCTGTCTATTCTTTTCTGGCTAGTTACTTCATATTTTTCTCTACTTTTATAGTAAGTGGTGGATTTAAATCGACTTAGGAGAGTATGACCAGTGACTGAGTGCCTTTTTTATGACTAGAAAGACAGCATATAGTGTTTTAAATCGTTAAATTGTCACAGTCGGGTTGACTGCAAGTCTTCAATACTGAAAATGATTTGCAATCAATCACATGTGATCAAGGGTGCGAGTATCAACAGATACCTGGCTGTATACGCATTGTAAATCCCGCTATACTACGACTCTCGCTATAAAAACTATAATGTTGAATTACTCATCGCATCACTCCTCTAAATGCCTACATCAAAAACAGACAAAATGGTCAACATCCGTCGAAAGTACTCAAATAATTTTGTTTGACATCCGAAATAGATCTCTATTTGTGATTGGTGAAAGTAGCTGTTTCATTTGCATATTTGTAAGTAGTTTCTTCAGTTTTTCATATAGCGAGCCAAATCAACGTGTTTTTTGGATCATAGTAGGAGAAAGTTAGTAAACATATTCCCAAGAGTCGTTTTTTGTGAGCAAAGTTTCATCCACCTTAATAAATATTCAATAGAATGCATTGACAATATTTCCACAATACGCCTCATACGTTTGTATGGCCAACTTAAACTGCTACAGTTGTGCCAGATCCATTTGAAGTATTTCTCGTCCTTCTTCTCGCAAAAGCTTACGGAGCAATTCATTCATTTGAACCAAGTTATGAAATATTTGATGTCAAAATTTATCGGGAGACAATATATTTTCACGTTTCAAATGTAGTTTGTAACTCTGACTTGACCACACTTACGACATACGCGCATTTCTCTGTTCAGAATGTTATTGCTGTAACAAACCAAATGAACTAACCATGTAGGACAAAACGGTGTATGCGTTGTATGAAAAATCAATTTGATTGATCGAGTGGAGGTGAAAACTGAACATGACGTAGAGCAAGCGCATGATAAGAGCTGATATAATATACTAGAACAGACAGTTATGATAAACAAATCATAGCATGATATCAATGATAGCTTCTAATGGTTTGGAATGACCGGTAAACGGAGAAATATTATCAACTGCCGCAGCTCATGCTCTCGGTTAAATTTTCGATAGTCAGTGCTGATCAGGTATTATTTTGCTAAATAGCTACTACATTATCAGCCGAATCGATGGTTTTACATGCACATTCCCCTTTATGAATTGTATCAGAGCGCGACTGGAGTATTTCCTAACAAAAAGCATTTAGAAATGGCATCGCTACGTAGAAATTGCAGATTCGATCTTCTAGCGCGGTATCAATTCTTATATGGAATATTTAATCGTAACCTCTAACCATATATTATCTCTGTATACGGCTCCTTTACATTAACCAACCGTATTTAGTGTTCATTTACCAATCTTGATCACGAACAACCGATAAATAGACTAAACATCATTCCGTTTATTCTTCCCATCGGTGTATCAACCCGTCATACAACACCACAAGTGATGGTGTATCAAATAGTTTTATCCGAATCGTGATGCTTTACCATCTTTCCAAATCGAAGCACAAAAGTACGTTGAACCAATTCAACTTATAACAACAGACCTATCATGCAGGCCAATTTCTAGATCAAATACTAAAGTTTCTCTATGTCGTTCAAAAGAACATGTATCAGCTCAAAAACACGTGGAGAGCCTACAGTTTGTAAGTTCATACTGCACATTCTGGTTAAAGTTTGTATTGAAACATAAGCGCCAGTGGTACTTGGTAATCGTATGAATATAGCAACTTTACCGTAAAGATAACTAAACCTGTCGCTTAGACAAAGGATATTTATTATGATTAAATGCACTTTTTACCGCAATATCACAGACTTGGTACGTTAAAGTACAGTTCAATTCAATCGTCTACACCAATTTTCGCTCTTTATAATTTTTTTGAACGTTTTTAATTAATAAATAAACGAAAACGATTTGATAAGAGTCCGGTAAAAATTGAAAAAGTGTCTAAAATAAATGAATTCACAAATGATGATAAATTTTCTTCAATTTCGATGGAGTCAAAAAGCACTGATAAATTATTTTTTTTTGAATTAAGTCAAAAGCAATGATACTCTTTGGCCATTCTAAAAAATCAAAAATACATTTATATCTCAAAAAACGCCAGAGAAAGCTTTGTACCGACAGAAAAACCTAAATGCATATTCTACTCTTGTAACCATAAAAAATGGCTTTACTCGCTAACCCGTAACAATTCACACCATTACAACGATGTGTACATGTTCGTGCTAATAGTGTTTAATTAAATTTAAAAGCTTATTTTCTCTCATTCATATCATAATCCCTTCCATTAGAGTCGTATCCTCCGTCATAGTAGTCCTGCCTGTTTACATACGGATGCCTTTCACTGTCGTGGATAGCCCCATTCTCATCCATATCTGGTATAAACTTTGACTTGTCCGGTGTATTGGGAGCATTGAGGCACTGTTGTATTAAATTCTCATGCTTAGAAATTATCGGCTTAAGTTTTGGGGTTGCAAACGTGTATACATGCCCGCTCTCGGATGCCACAAGAAGTAGAATCTGCGACTTTGTCAGCATGTTCAGTTCATACGCCTTCTTCATGATTCCCTTCTTTCTTTTCGAGAATGTTACGCTTCTCTTGTTCTTGCCCTCAATGTAGGCCATCTTAATTTTCTTTCTTCCGCTTTTCGTTGCCTTCTTTTTGGCCACATGTTCAATTTCCATATTTTCTTCCTCAATTCTTGTTTTCGGGAACTCGTGCGCAGCCATTCCAGCCGGTCGCTCATAGGCAGGTTGGTTGTATTCCTGGTTGTAGTGCATGTTGCGCGGCTCGTATCGTGGATCGAAATGCCTCGGCGGCTCATGATATGTGTTGTACCGGTAGTTATAATCATCCTGATAAGAGTTTGGATAGCGATCATCATATCTCATGTTTTGATAGTACTGATAACTACTTGGCATACTTTCATTCTGGTATTGGTAATCAGACACACCATTCTCGTTCGTATACGCCATCTCTTCCTCGTTTTCGTCAGAGTATCTCTTCTTCCTATCGTTCATTATTCTCTTTTGGGGTGCAAAAATCTATCTTAAAAGGGAAAGGATATTCCTCTTATTGGCAGATATAAGAGTGATCATTAAGGAGTCCTTATCAAATTATTTTTGATTAATTATTTCTTTTAAGAACGTACCAATGGTATTCACTCGTTTCCGCCATCATTTTAACGGGTGTAGCGATTGATTCCGGCTTATTTACTATAAAATATAAATTAAAAATTATTGACTGTACTTCAAATGCGCTCGGTAATCGGCATTTACCGTAAAATACGGCGAAACAAAGCTGTTGTGCTCTAATAATCCTGCTAGGGAAATAAAAGCGGTAAAACGGATAGAATTGACAAATGCTTATGCAGCTATCGTTTTTCATGACAGTATTTGACATCATATTTATTTACGGTGCGTATCGTATTCATGAAAAGCACTCAAAAACTATTATTTGTTATACTGAATCACCAAGCCGGTTCCATTGTTTTTATTAAGTGTTCCTTTGTAGTATCACACTTTCCTTTATCAAATAAATGGTTAAATAAAAACTTTTATCAATTTTCTTTTTATATACTATACTAGATAAAAATTTTATGTAGTAAATAGAGTATTATAAGGAATGGGAGATACATTCACCGGGACAGCGAGGCTGTCTTATTTACGTTTCTGCGATAGGAAATACTATTTTGGTAATTTTACCGAATTGTTTACGCAATATTCGTATTCATATCATTTCTGGTACACGTAACTACCGGTTTGTTGAAACATGTCACACGTTTATTGATGTGATAAGAATGATTTTTTATATACGGGAAGAGGAGCAAATAATTTAGAAAATTGCACATTAATGGAAAAGATAAATTAAAAAATGTAAGTGATTTTTGTGAGTAATAACTTAGGTGGCTAGAGAACAAACAGCATTGCGAGCAGAACAACTTCATAAACCACAGCATTTAAATGGTTTAATCAAATATGAACAACTAATATTACGTTGAATTACATGTGTTCATCAGGTACAGCATGGATTGAAATGAAAGTTAATGGTATATTTGGTTTGTGTATTTTCGTTCAATACTGTTAAACGGTTTAGTTCGGAGTTGCTGCTCTAAACAATTAAATTAAAATATTTTTTTACAAAAATACCAAAAAGGAAAGTGAGCGAGAAAAAGAAAAAGCAACAAAATGTTGATATACAGACATACTCATCAGAAACCATGTAGTATTGGCATAATATCGTGTTCATTTTGCAGATAAATCTTCCAGTGGCTGCATATTAGCGACTCTGATGCACGGACGTAATATTTCCAAAAATAAAAGTGCTAATTTAAGTATTAGGTTATTAAACATTCCTTGTATCGAAGAGTTTAGTATTTTTTCTTTATTGAGTGTTTTTGTAAAAAATGTATAAATTGATCAGGTGAAAATGTGTACCCCCATGCCATTCGAGAGAAATAAATATTTCAAATGTAGCGATGTAGTGCAGTTTTGTCCGCCTCGATACGTAGGATATCAATAGCGTGCTTCAGTTAAAGTGATAATGCAATCTTAAATTTGTGATTACAGGATGTTTTTTAGCATAGTAACAGTCACTATATACGCCTTATATTTCATTCTTGCCTTTAAAATCAATTCTTCATAATCGAATTTTAACTTATCTATAACATGCGAGGTATGATTTTCTGCAAGTAACAAAACGCAATAGCTTTGAAGCAGTGGGATGATGCTTTGTGTTTGGTTTTAAGTCTCGAAAAATATTTGAAGTAACTTATGTATAAAATGGTACAAGTGACAATGAATAAATTCGTTAAAAATGTTCAACGTTTTCTACGACCGCAACAGGAACGCCACCTTTAATCAGTAGTTTGAATCTTCGATGTCACACATTACAATTTTTACCTATTTAGACACCTGCAACCATCTGCATTTCTACCAATGGAATTTGAGAATCACATGATCCCGATACTAGATATTGACAACAATAGGAGCGGATAAGCTGAAATAGTTATGTTTTACCGCATCAGTGTGTTGATACGTTTGTAAAATATTTTTTAGACTGTTCCGGTATGGTAAAAACTAGATGTTCCACTTGTTTACTCACGAGAAGCATCATAATTTGATCGAATAAAACTCCTGTAATTGACATATATCAAGTCCTGTATTATCATCATTCGTGTTATTCGAATAAGGACACATACGTATCTAAGTGATTGTGTTACAATGATCTGAACATTGAACCGATTGCGTTACTATAATGAAATCGAATGGCTGAACGGGTAGGCCTTTTCATTATTGCAGCCAGCAGAGCGTATTTAGCAGGCGTTCATGCAGCAATAGACGGCAAAAGACAAACAGCTGGTAGAGATGCTTTGCATTGATGGTAAAAAAAGAAGTGTGATACACCATGGGGCGTTTGAGGCACAGGTATTTCTTCTTCACTATGAGATAACAAGTAATGAATTAGAAAGGAGCATTGTCCCTTCATCTGTGCTACAATGTGCTTTGAAATGCCGTGCACTTCATTCTAACTGTTTTGCGAATCCTAACATCCGAAGTTTATGTTTACCCAGTGTCAACAAGAAATGATTTGA